CCCTCCTTCCCTTGCTTCTCGATAAAACTCTCGGATTGGAATACTTAAAAAGAAGGGGAAGTCAAAACACAATTGCACAATACTACAGTAAATGTAAAAAGGAAAATGTTTTTTTTTTCTTCCGGATTCAGGGATGAATAATGCAGGAATTTCTCCAGGGGGGCTTAAAAGGACTGTAAGAGAGCAATGTTCGATTCACAACGATAAACCTTGAAACCTTTAAGGTTTACCGTTCGTTAAGTAGAGAGATCTTTCTGTCGTTCTTACGTTACAACCGTGCTTGAACATTCAAAATTAAATTTGAACTTTCTGCCACTTTGCAAAAGTAACTATTGATATTTCTTAATTTTACAACCGCTTGCCACCAAAGTGTTTCAGTAGATTAATACGGATATTTCCGACATACTTGATCAGTCAAACGTATAAAGGGTATCATTGTGCATTGGGGATTCTCCTCTGTAAATAGAAGGTCACTTGAATATACGCTTACAGCCCCTTTTTAATAATTTTTCCTTTCAATATATTTCACTTAATACGCTTACAGTCTCTTTTTATCATTTTCCTTTCCATAGATTTCACTTAGTACGCATACAGTCCCTTTTTATCATTTTTCCTTTCCATAGATTTCACTTAGTTCGCTTACAGTCCCTTTTTATCATTTTCCTTTCCATAGATTTCACTTAGTACGCTTACAGTCCCTTTTTATAATTTTTCTTTCCATAGATTTCAATCAGCAGTCGTTGGGGCCTGAAAACCCCGGGTACCATAGATAATACTGACCCAGACAGGGGGCTGACCGCATATCCCCCATTACCACGCCTTTGAACTATCACTGATCCGCAGGAAGGGGGTCGGAGGGGGGGGGGGGGGGTATACGCGCCTCTGTTTAGAATAATGTTGTTCAAAAAGTTCAACTATGGAACATAGACCCAGTGCAATGTGTACTAACCAATTTCTTCAAAGATGCAGAAAATAAGTTACACTTTATAATACCTGTACTTTAAGCAACAACATAAAAATCGTATTTGAAAGCTATGTAAAGTCAAAGTTTGCATATAAAAAAGCCGAACGTATTACATTTAAGAATTTCAAAATATTGAAAAGCTTCTTTATCTTTAAAAATTACCAAATATTGTAATTAAATTTTTTTTTCGGTTTCTTTGATAAATTAAAATCTAAATGAAATGATTTATGCAAATTTTGACAACTCTTAAAAAGCCGAAAACATTGGAGCTATTATACTTCTTGATAAAGGACAAAAGTAGCTAGAAAGTACGAAAACATTAAAGCTATTATACTAATTGATAAAGGACAAATATAGCTAGAAAGTACGAAAACATTGGAGCTATTATACTACTTGATGAAGGACAAATGTAGCTAGAAAGTGCGAAATGTAGAAAAAGACGTGTTGTAAACGAGTGGCAAATATAATCAGATATCAATATTGCTAGATTATCTCACATTTTTAAAATCACACTGTAATTCTAAATATTTTGGGACACCCTGTATTTTAATCCCATATTGGAATATTTAGAACTTTGATGTTCAAATATTTTATGAATATTCAAACAGTTTGAAGTTACTCTCTGTACTTATCCTTATTCACTCCAAACCTACAATTATTAAATCAAAAACTGTGACGTTTCTCCATTAAAAAAAAAATCAGCTGATTTTAAGAAGAAGTACTCCATCCTGAGAAGATTAGGTTATTCTAAGAACAGGTACTCCATCTGAAGAAGATTAGCTGATTCCAAGAATAGGTACTCCATCTTAAGAAGAATAAATGATTCCTAGAACAGGTACTCCATCTGGAGTAGAGTTGCTGATTCCAAGATCAGCTACCCCAAATTGAGAAGACTAGTTAAATTCAAGAACAGGTGCTCCATCTGGAGTAGATTAGCTGATTCCAATAACAGGTACTCCATCTTGAGTAGATTGACTGACTCCAAGAACAGGTACTCCATCTGAAGAAGATTTTCTGATTCAAAAAATAGGTACTCCATCTTGAGAAGATTAGTTGAGTCCAAGAACAGGTACTTCATATTGAGAAGATTAGCTGATTCCAAGAACAGGTACTCCATCTGGAGTAGATTAACTGATTCCAAGAACAGGTACTCATTATTCAATTCTAGTTTATGCAGTTTTTTGCAAGAACGTTTTAAAACTAAATTTTAATTTTTCCAAATTTCATTTTAATCTTATTATTTCGTTGTAACCCTGTATAATATAATCTAATCAGGATCTAACCCAGGAAAATATAGTTTGCCTTGATAAGCTCTTGTTTACATAGACATATAGTCTCAATAACATTAAGGATGTCTCAAAATTTGACCTCTAGAAAACTATTTTTTTAACAACTGAAGATCTAAATTGAATTATATTTTTGAGAAAAACAAAGATTTAACAGACATGTTTAGTTATAAGAAAATGTCCAATTCAAAATAAATTTAGAGTTCAGCCGTAAAGTTTCAGGACGAATTTTCATATTATAAATTAGCTTAGATTGATTCTAATACTATTTAGCATAATCCTTATTTAACATTCTTGTGGTTTACATAAACTTGTATCTTGTATCCCTGTATTCTTCTATGTATAGGGTAGAAGGATATCAGTTCTCTAAGTATCTGAAACACACTGTATATAGTATAGAACAGAGTAGAAGGAGATCAGTTCTCTAAGTATCTGAAACACACTGTATATAGTATAATATAGTAAAGGGTAGAAAGAGATTAGCTGTCAAAGTATCCAAGTAAAGTATAGTTTAGGGTAGGAGGATATTAGTCTCCAAGTATCTTGAAACACCCTGTATTCTGCTGTGTATAGGATAGGAGAAGATTAGTTCTCCGAGTGTATTGAAACACCCTGTCTAGTATAGTATAGGGTAGGAGGAGAAATGTTTATATGTATTCTCGGATCATCAGTCTAGAAGTGTCAACTCTGATAGAAAGAAATGTTTCCCACAAATATCCTAATACTTCTAATGGTGACGAACCTTGCTCTGGGTTCAATTCTAGATTTAGCTCCGGGTTCAGATCTGAACACAGCTCCGGGTTCAGCTAACAAAAGAACATTTTCCATATCCTTCAGAAAAAATACATTCATTAAGGTAAATGTAGTCCCGGAGTTAAAAATGTTTAGTCAGATATGATCATGGTAATTTAGACAAATGCAAAGATAAAGGAAAGCATGACAAATAAGAAAGGTTTAAACAGGAAAAAGATTAAGGATAGAAAAGGTTTGAACAAGGAAATAATGAAGGATAGGAAAGGTTTGCACAAGCGGAAATGATAAAGGATAGGAAAGGATTTAACAATGAAAGGGTAAAGGATAGGAAAGGTTTTAACAGGGAAAGGATGAAGGATAGGAAAGGTTCGAGCAAGGAAATGTTTGAACAAGGAAAGAATGAAATATAGGAAAGGTTCGAGCAAGGCAAGGTTTGAACAAGGAAAGAATGAAGAAAAGGAAAGATTTGATGAGGAAATGTGGAAGAATAGGAAAGGAAGAAGTATAGGAAAGGTTTGGCCAGAAAAGGAGGAAGTATAGAAAAGGTTTGAACAAGGAAAGAATGAAGAATAGGAAAGGTTTGATCAGGAAAGGAGGAAGTATAGGAAAGGTTTGATCAGGAAAGGAGGAAGTATAGGAAAGGTTTGACCAAGGAAAAAATAAAGAATAGGAAAGATTTGATCAGGAAAGGAGGAAGTAAAGAAAAGGAAGAAGTATAAGAAAGGTTTGGTCAAGAAAGGAGGAAGTATAGGAAAGGTTTGAACGAGGAAAGGTTTTAACAAAGTGAAGTTTTAAACAAAGAAAGGGTGAAGTATAGGAAAGATTTGATCAGGAAAGGAGGAAGTATAGGAAAGGTTTGAACGAGGAAAGGTTTTAACAAAGTGAAGTTTTAAACAAAGAAAGGGTGAAGTATAGGAAATGTTTGACCATGAAAGGATGAAGTATATGAAGGAATGATTATAGAATAAAGTAGGTTGGTATAGGAAAGGTTTGACCATGAAAGGATGAAGTATATGAAAGGTTTGACCATGAAAGGATGAAGTATATGAAGGAATGATTATAGAATAAAGTAGGTTGGTATGGTAAGAGGACGAGGAAGGATCAAAAGATTTTGATTAAGAAATGATGGAGGCTTAAAAATGGATTAATAAGAGCAATATAGAAATAAAGTGGAAATAATTGATCAAATTATAATTAAAAGATATGGATAAGGAAAGGTTTACAGGTTTGACTGCATATATGGATTGAGAAAGGATGAGAGGATTGGAGTAGGAGAAGAAGGATTAGATTGGTTTGAAAAGATATGAAGATAAAGTAGAAATAACTTTCATCATCCTTATCTTTCTACTGTAGGTTGAGCATACATAGTAATTTATTTTACACACAACCGTATTCAAATAAGTTCTTTTCAAACCTAAACTCACATTTTCCAATTGTTCCTTTAAAGGGACTGTCTTTGAAATTTCGAGGAACCTTCCATTTAAAGAGACGTGTCCTCGAAGAACCTTTATCTGAAAAAAATTGGAAGATTTTTTCGGCCGAAAAGATTTAATTACAATTGGCTCAATCCGTAATTTTAGATAATCAAAATGTTTTCTTAGTCATACAAAGTTCTTATAAGTACCATTGTGAATCGTACATAGCACTCCATAAATGTAGAGTTACTTGATAACACGTCTGAAGTTGAAGGATCCCTTTTCATTCTTGTTTCTCTGGTTTTATTGGTGAAAAAATGTACAAATTACTCCAATAACGTCTATGCGAATAATTTGATTTATCTTTGTTCAGTTCTCCTATTATTCTAAAAAAATTTAATTGCTTTTAAAACATTTAACATAATTTTTATCTATTTTCCTTAATTTTAGATTAATTACTCACTTTAAACTCTAATTTTCTAATCCTTATATCTTTGTAATCTACTGCTGTAGACCTTCCAAAACTCTGCTAGAGTTCCTTTCCCGTGGTTTGGTTCTATGTACATTAATTCTCCCACAATATCTATACTTTGCTTGTCTGGGTGTCTGTTTGTTTGTATCCAATAAACGTCAAAACTGATGAACATTTTTTGTGGGACCTCTCATTACCCCAAGGAAGGTTTATGGCTGCCCAGAAGAACAAAAAGTTGTCTCCAAAAATTTTTGATTTTCATAAAATTTTGAAAATCCACGAAAACAAAATTTTTAATCCGCAAAGCTTTTCATTATGTTTTCATCGAAGAGCAAATGCTGAAAGAAGAAGCAACAATTAAAAGTTGAAATAGAAGTTGCCTAGTTTATTTTGAAAATCCTCCAGGTTTCCACAATTTTTGTTGTTTTCCACTTATTTCTGATTGGATCATGGATCTTGAAGCTCTCTGGTTGAAAGAAATAGTGCTGAGATAAGGAAGAGGGTTGAGAAGAAACCTTTTAATAAATGTTTTTAAAACCTTTATTTAGGATGGAGAACCTTACCGTTATATATCAGGGTCCATGCATTACTTCAGGGTTCCGAGACAGTACTGGAGAGAAAGGTTAGACAAAGGAACTAAGTTCTTGCACTAAACTCTGATTTTTTAATCCCTAAATCTTTGCAACCCAATATTACAGACCTTTTTCTTTTTCAAGTAGAGGACTGATTTCAAAGCCTTTGTATATTTTCTTAAAAATTATTATCATAAGGCAATGTAGACTTGGAAATTTGCTATCAAACTATCTAAAATCAAAGGCAATGAATATAAAATTAATCCTTTGTGAAAAAGTATATTTGGAATAATATGGATTCCACGTTTTTGGTTTAGTCACTTTGAGAGATTCCTTCCGGAACGTGTATAACATTTTTTGGAAGAATTGAATTAGCTTCCAAAAAAAAAACTGTTTAACTATCAATCCAAGATATCTGAAAAAACTAATGGATTAAGAAAATAACTTTTATATTTAAGAACTAGAATGATCTAGTGCTCATAGGTTGGAGAAGATGCGCGTAGCAGGTTTAACGTGTGTTCAGACCTACGTGGAGTGGTCCTCTCATCAACCCAACCCGGAGGAGACTATATTCAAGGATAACCTGGATATAGAGGAGTTCCTTCAAGCTGCAGCAGATACAGGATTAGGTATACTCAAACCAGAGCTAGGAACTCTTGTATTGCGGATATCGAGATCAATCTTGTCAGGTTCATCGGCAGATTAATTTAACTTTTATTCAAAATCCCGCATCTTATTTGTACCATAGAGAATTAACTAAGAAAGCGATTAAGCATTTATCCTCAAACTAAACGTATCCGCAGTGGATATCGAGATCAAGTAATCGGGATTACGAGTATCCAAAACAAAAATATCTAAGATCTGTAGATATTTTTAACTTGTGATTATTATTATTATTATTATTATTATTATAATTTCTAGATGTGATCCTACGTCCTGGTCCCTATATTGACGCGGAGCGTGATCTGGGTGGATTACCCTCCTGGATTCTGAAGAATAAAAATATAAATCTCAGGAACCTCTAACACCTTCAGACCTGGCTCTCAGGGCCCAAGTTTAGATGGAAAAAGTTTAAAATCAAATTAGTAGGTTTTCTTTCATCATTCTCTCTCCGCCATTTTCTTTTATTCCTTCCGGGTGAATAGTTAAATGTTTGAGTTGAGTTTAGAACGAATGATCCAGGATTCATGAAACCTGTCGAAGCCTGGTATAAAATCCTTTTCAAGAAGATAAATAAGTATCTTTATAAGAATGGAGGACCGATCATAATGATCCAGGTACTTTCAGGGTTCAGGAAACTATATTAATTGGTATTATTTGGTAAAAAAAAAAAAAAAACGGCGACATGAAAGGGTGTGTTCGCGAAAAATGAAGGGGGGTATTGGCTGATCCCGAAGTGAATTCGGTTTTTATCGCTACTAATTTCACTTGTATCAAAGGAGGAAACCTTATAAACAGTAGAACTCATAAAGATTGACGGAGTTACATTATTTCACCCAAACCGTAAATAAGTTAAACAAAGGAATTGAGTTTCTGCCACAAACTCAAATTTTCTAATCCTTATATTTTGGCAACCTGATGGCGGAAACCCTTGATATTTCAAACTTAGGCTATTTGATCTAACAGAATTCATAGTTTGAAATATATAACGTCTACGAAATTGGGTTGAAAAGATAGAGGTATTAGAAAATGCGAGTTTGTGAAAAAACTCACTTCCTTTATAACTAATCATTCAGATATTATCAGTTCTAAATATTAGTTTTCCTGATCCAACCTTGTTTTCTATCTCTAGGTAGAGAATGAGTACGGATCATACGGAGCACAAACTGGATTCTGTGAAAAGGAGTACCTGGAGAACTTGAGAGATCTAACCCGAGGTCTAGTTGGAGATGATGTGGTTCTCTTTACCACAGATGGAAACAGTCTAGATCTTGGTAAAAAAAGGAAAAATAGAGTAAGGAACTTAGTCTTTGTCACAAACTCTGATTTTCTACGTCCTTCATCTTTGCAATCCAATGTCATAAACCTTGGATATTTCAAACAATGAATTATGTCTTATCAAATAATCTAAGTTTGTAATAAAAAATGTTTACATAATCAGGTTGCAAAGATAGAGAGATTAGAAATTTTTAGTTTGTGGCAAAGACTCAATTCTATTCTTTCTTATCTTCTATTGAATCTGAAATCAAAATTAAAATGTGTAAATTCTTCAAACGCATAGTGATATACTATTTCTTGAAAAACATGAGTTTAACTAAAGCAGAGAACTTATTTGATTAAAAGGGAGAGGGTGGGCAAATATTCTCTAACCATTGAGTATTGATAATTAATCAATGTAGACATTTTTTAAAATGTTCATATTTATTTTCCAGTAAAATGCGGGAAGATTGACCAAGTGTACGCTACAGTAGATTTTGGACCTGGAGCAAACGTAACTCAGGCATTCCATGTTCAGAGAACTATCGAACCCAGAGGACCACTAGGTAAAAATTAGAGTTTATTTCATAACATGAGCTGAATTAAAAGCCTGGATTATTATTTTGATCTGGACTTGATTCAAGTTTAAACTCCGGGATCAATTACAGATGGAAGCTTTAAAAACCAATCAAGTTAAGAAATTGATAAATATTTGGAAAACTGAATAGATTTAATGTTTAAACATGTATTGTTTATTAGATCAGAGATGGAATTTAAAGAATTTGAGCCGCGGTTTAAATCCGCCAAAACCCGGTTTAAATCAAGGGCCGGCTTAAATCTTGAAACATTTGATACAATTTTAAGTGGAACCAACCATATTTAAACCGCGGCTTAAATTTAAACCGCTGCTCAAATTCTTTAAATTCGGCCACTGGTTCTTTAAATGTTTCCACTTTCCAAATACTCAAAGATATAAGCAAAAAAAAGTATACCAATCTTAAAAGAAACCTGAGATATGCCACAAACTCAAATTTTCTAGTCAGTATCAAACCTTCAACCTAATTGTGTAAACCTGTTATATATTAAATTAAGACTGTATTAGAACTGATATATATATATCAAAGGTCTACGAAATCGGGTCGGAAAGGTATAGGGATCGAAAAATCAGAGTTTTTGACAAGAACTAACGTTCTTTTTCTAGTTAATTCTGAGTTTTATCCTGGTTGGTTGGATCACTGGGGTCACCAGGTATTTCATTCAAAAATTATCTTATAAATTTAATTCATATTTTATAAAATACCAGTTTTTAAACCCAGCTTTGTTGTTTTCTCATTCATTGAACTAATTAAAATCATTACTTGAAGCTAACAGTCTTCTTCTTATTCCATAGTTTTATGAGTCCCAATGTATTAATAGTTTTATGAGCCCCACTGTGTTAATAAACCGTTGTCAACAACTGGAACCCAGATGTTGTATTGTTAAATCTAATTAAACCATCTGAAAACACAAATATATTTATTGTGAAGGTGTCTAGTTTATTAGTAGAATTATCCTGATATTTGAACCCATGTCTATAATTATAAAGATAAAATGGCAACAGTAGTCCTATATGTTTAATGAGCACCCTGGAGGGTTTATAGTTTAAAGTAACTTTGTTTCATCTAGGGTTGTCATTATTTTGTTTCTTCTGGTATCACGTTTTGCTTTCTTTGTTTCTTGGTATCCTAGTATCCTGGTATACTGGTATCTTGGTATCCTGGTATCCTGGTACATATCCTGGTATCTTGGTATCTTGGTATCCTGGTATCCTAGTACATATCCTGGTATCCTGGTATCCTAGTACATATCCTGGTATCCTGGTATCATGGGATTCTGGTTTCCTGGTATCCTGGTATCCTGGTATCCTAGTATCCTGGTATCCCGGTATCCTAGTATCCTGGTATCCTGGTATCCTGGTACATATCCTGGTATCCTGGTACATATCCTGGTATCCTGGTATCCTGGTACATATCCTGGTATCCTGATATCCTGGTACATATCCTGGTATCCTGGTATCCTGGTATCCTAGTATCCTGGTATCCTGGTATCCTAGTATCCTGGTACATATCCTGGTATCCTGGTATCCTGGTATCCTAGTATCCTGGTATCCTGGTATCCTAGTATCCTGGTATCCTGGTATCCTGGTATATTTGTAACCTAGTTTACTTGTATCCCAGAACTACAGATTACTCTGCATGGTTGAGTTTAGGTAAAGGTTTAAAAGGATTTTGACGTGAACATGAAAAAATTGAAAAATGGTCTTTTTTCGAGCTCAACAGAAAATACAAAGTAAACCCGCGTATAATGATCTCACACCTTCCTTACAAACTTAATCTGGGAAAAAATTTAATCTTTTCAAAAATAGAATCCTACTTTCTTCAGCACTTCCCATGCTTGCTTGAACTAAAAACGACAATAAAATTTGAATTTGATTTGAAATTTTAATTCTAAAAGCATGTTTTTAACTGTTTGATATCTTTTTGTTTGAACCATGTGTATTGTCTGTAATAATTGAACAGTTATAAACATACATATTGTAACCGGTGTGAGCTCAATAGCTTGGAATAGGGATAGTTCAATTGATGTAACCCCATCATGGTTCTCATATGTACCCGGAGCTAAACTCAGATTGGATAGTTCCATTGATGTAACCCCTTCAGTCCTCATATGGCCCGGATCCGAGGCAAGCTCGGATTGCAAGTAGTTCGGCCTATAAAAAGGACTAAGTATTAGCTCTTTTGTATATAGCTATAGGTCGGACAGAAAGTGGGGCGGATGATAAGTTGCCAAAGTGGAGAAATCCGAAGACGGAAGATTAACTCGTCGTACGAGGCGAATGAAAGGTGGAGAGTCCGTCAGAATGCTCCGGCTTTCCATGATCCATTAGCATCATTTTTTTTTTTTTTTTACTTGTAAATGCATTTTTTTTACTCTGTAGATTTACTCACATCAGTTTCCTTTAGATTTCCTTTATTTCATACCACTTTTTTATGGTAACAATATTTTTCACACATCAATTCAATTCATTTAGTACAATGGTACAAGAAACCGGTCCAAGGGACTGAAGTATTTACCATCAATTTAGTTACTTGTATATAAATAATATGCTACATGTATATTAAACTTATTTCTAAGTAAACAATTAACAATAAACAAATGTACTCTCCTAGACTGTACAAATATCGAGATTCGTATGTACTCTATAATCCTACAGTACACACCTTTGGTACTTTAAACTAACACACACTCTTCTGGTACAGACACACACACATGACGTTTCCGCCCCCTGCTTTTAGGTTGCAAAAATAGAGGGATTAGAAATCTTGAGTTTGTGGCAATAACTCAATTCCTTTAATTGACCGTACATGTTCAGACAGGCTCAATATAACCTTGTACTATACCGTACCGTTCACACCTAGTATTTTGACCCAGCACGACCAGTAAATGAGCTAATGCTTCCAAGGCTCAAGAGTTGATTTGGGTCGGTACAATTTTTAAATTCTAAATCCGCGAAATAAAAAAAAATACAATTTTCTGCTAGGAAATAATAGAGACAGTCATTTTTTTCTTGACAAAATATTGAAAATAACTATTGACTATTTCCTAATTTATAATATTTTTTTAAGGTTTCAACTGGTTTCAATATGTACGCAGCGTATACTGCAACTGCAATTAACTTTCCTTGCATTATAACCTTGGTACACTTGTACAACAAATAAATCATTCCCTTCTATACTATAAAAAGTTGTAAAAAATAAAAGGTATAAAGTTTATAATCATCAAATAAAATTATTATTATTCGATCTTTAAAACCATCATTTCTGTCCAAAGTTTCTGTACAGTATTTTTAATAAAAACGGTCTTCTATATAAAAATAAGAAAACCGGTTTATTTCTGGTGGAACTACCTGACTTGTCAAAATATGATAAAATACACATACAGATGTAGATACAGGGTGGGGTGTCCCATTTAATATGATGAATTGACTTGAAACAAAGAAAACATGGACGTGGCATGTCTGATTCACAACAATAGCCTTTAACCCTCTATTTAAGTTACAATATAAAAGATATCGTTATTTTAGATTTAAAAGGCGGCGTTGTAAATCTGTAACTATGGTCACTTGAAATTACGTTTACAGTCCCTTTAAATTATTCTCAAACATCATATTCTCCGGGACACTCTTGAGATGTTGATTTGATTGTAATCATACAAAACTCTCTTTCTCTCTCTCTCTGTTTCTATCATGTCGGAATCAGGGAATATCTGAATATAGACTGTATTCTTTTTATTTAAAATATTTCGTAGAAAAGGGATGAGAAAAGATTAAATGCAGGGGAAACGAAATTGGATAACATGCAAGGGGGATGTAAAGTGAAAACTGTCAAACATTGTAGAAAATTTTATTTCAGGACGTGCATTTTACTATAACTTTAAGAATCAACCTGTGTTCAACTTTTTAAGGGTGGCGAGAATTTAACTTTATTAAAAATCGGCTCGCAGATTTGTATGCAAAGACTGGAAAGAAAATTCAGATTGGTTAACATAACCAACTCTCCAAATAGTGAACCTTATTTTTTTCTTCATTTGAAAATTGATTAATATAACGTTCATTTTTTAATGTTAAGGATTGCTTGAAATCACTTTAAACGATGAAAAAATGGCGCGGACGGATATGAATAAAAAACGAGAAGAATGAAATAAAGCTAATTTATGAATATCTCCGGTTAAAAAGTGATATATTTATTTCTCCGTAGATATATTTTATACTGAATGGGTTTCGTTTCTCCTTGATTACCCTTGAATTACAGGAAAAGGAGTATATATATGCAGGATACATATTCTTCTTTATCTTTAATAGACCACTATTTACACTGATATTCAATATAAGGCTATAACCCAGGGGGGGTGGGGGGAATTTAAGAATTGGTTTTAACATTGCTGATGGATTTGCATAATTCTCTCTTTAAACTTCACTAAAGATAAGAGTTATTCTATAACAATGTTTCACTCTCTGGTCTAACGACAATCAAATCTGAATGTCTCAGTTACGGTCAAGGTGATTATTAGATAAGAAGCTGAACTCTGTCGCATTTATAAGTTCCCAGCTCTGACTTTTTTTGACAATAATATCGTGCGCTAAAAAAAATAATTTTTAACAATTTGTTTCAGCACTCTAAGGTTGGTTCAGACGAGGTGGATAAAACATTGGATGAAATGCTCCGGGTTGAGGCTAACGTTAACATCTACATGTTTCACGGAGGTAATAGATAAACTCATTAATTTATAGATATTTGAGAGATACATTAGTAAACTGATAGATTATTAATTTATAGATAATTTGAGAGATACATTAATAAACTGATATATTATTAATATATATATATTTGAGAGATACATTAGTAAACTGATAGATTATTAATTTATAGATAATTTGAGAGATAGTAAACTGATAGATTATTAATTTATAGATAATTTGAGAGATACATTAATAAACTGATAGATTATTAATTTATAGATAATTTGAGAGATACATTAATAAACTGATAGATTATTAATTTATAGATAATTTGAGAGATACATTAATAATCTGATAGATTAACTGATAGATAAGCTAATAAACTAATTGATATACTAATAAACTGATAGATAAGCTAATAAACTAATTGATATACTAATAAACTGATAGATAAACTAATAAACTAATAGATATACTAATAAACTGGTAGATAAACTAATAAACTGATAGATATACTAATAAACTGATAGATAAACTAATAAACTAATAGATATACTAATAAACTGGTAGATAAACTAATAAACTAATGGATATACTAATAAACTCTTAGATAGACTGATAAAATGATAGATAAACTAATAAACTAATAGATATACTAATAAACTAATAGATAAACTCAATAAACTGATATATATACTAATAAACTGATAGATAAACTAGTTAACTGATAGATAAACTAATAGACTAATAGATATACTAATAAACTGATAGAAAAACTAGTAAACTGATAGATAAACTAATAGACTAATAGATATACTAATAGACGAATAGATATACTAATAAACTGATAGATAAACTAATAAACTGATAGACAAACTAATAAACTAATAGATATACTAATAAACTGATAGATAGACTGATAAACTGATAGATAAACTTATAACCTGATAAACTTATAGATAAACTAATAAACTACACAAATATACTAATAAACTGATGGATAAACTGATAGACTGATTGATAAACTGATAGATAAACTTATAACCTGATAAACTGATAGATAAATTGACAGACTGACCAAGAAAAGTTTTAAAGATGTTTTAGAAGTAAAGTTTAGGAAATTACTTGAAAGACAGTTTTCTAAAACCAGAATTATAAAACTAAACTGCAGTCACAAATATCTGAGAATGTTATAAAAAGAAATGGATGAATGAACTTTAAAACTTTGAGAATAATCCATCTTTAAGAGAGAGAAAGATAGAAAGAGAAAGAGAAAGAAAGATAGAGAGAGAAAAAGAGAGAAATATAGAGAGAGAGAGAAAGAGAGAAAGAGAAAGAAAGATAGAGAAATATAGAGAAAGAATGATAGAGAGAGAAAGATAGAGAGAAATATAGAGAAAGATAGAGAGTGAAAGAGAGAGAAAGATACAGAAAGTAAAAGAGAGAAAAAGAGAGAAAGATAGCAAGAGATAGAGAGAGAAAAAGAAAGAGAGAGAGAAATATTGAGAAAGAATGATAGAGAGAGAAAGATAAATAGAGAAAGATAAAGGGAGAAAGATAGAGAGAGAACGATAGAGAAAGAATGATATAGAGAGAGAAAGATAAATAGAGAAAGATAGAGGGAGAAAGATAGAGAGAGAAAGATACAGAGAGTAAAAGAGAGAAAAAAAGAGAGAGATAGCAAGAGATAGAGAGAGAAAGAGAGAGAAATATAGAGGAAGAATGATAGAGAGAGAAAGATAAATAGAGAAAGATAGAGGGAGAAAGATAGAGAGAGAAAGATACAGAGAGTAAAAGAGAGAAAAAAAGAGAGAGATAGCAAGAGATAGAGAGAGAAAGAGAGAGAAATATAGAGGAAGAATGATAGAGAGAGAAAGATAAATAGAGAAAGATAAAGGGAGAAAGATAGAGAGAGAAAGAGACAGAGAGAAATATAGAGAAAGAATGATAGAGAGAGAACGATAGAGAAAGAATGATAGAGATAGAAAGATAAATAGAGAAAGAGAAAGGGAGAAAGATAGAGAGAGAAAAATAGCGAGAGAACAAGAGAGAAATATATAGAAAGATAGAGAAAGAAAGAGAAATGAATATTGGACATGTTAAAGTCATATCTGGGGTCTAAAAGTAGTCTTCCTTTTCCAGAGTTTTCTGGCTCTCACTGTGTGGAAAGAGTGTATTTTCTTTCTCTAAAATATACTGACTCCCCTGTTTACAGATCAGCTTTTAACCCTAATGTTGCACAAATTGCATTTTAATGTATGTAAAAACTAAACAGTTTCTCATATTCTCTTTGTTATCCTGAAAATGGTTGTAGTTCTACTCAGCTCTAATCTTCTAATGTGCTGTGTTTAAACTTGTTTATTGTTGCAATTTTGTGGATTGCGGGGGAGTTAAAACTTAAATTAATGGGAGAATTCTTTTCTGAAATTTGATGAGATTTGAGACCTTTTTGTTGGGATTTGAAACTCTTTTTCTTGGGATTTGAAACCTTTTTCTTGTTTTTAATCCTTGTTCTGATTTCTCCAGGTACATCCTTTGGACTGAGCGCCGGATCTAACTCTGACCCGTTCCTTGTAACTCCAACATCTTATGATTACGATGCTCCAATCAGGTTTGGACTCATTGCTCATTCATCATATTTTACAATGATAAGTTAACGCTGTTTATTGCTCTTTGCTTAAAAAACACTGCGTGTCTTTCTAATTCTTCACTGCTTATTGATCATTGCTTTTCTTAACTAATACTTCACTGCTAATAAATCACCTCGTATTGCTCATTGCTCACAGAATTCTGCTCTTTTAAACTAATACTTGCTAAGTTAATATTGTTCTTTACTAATACATCACTGCTTATTACTCATTGTTTACAGTTCATTGCTCTTCTTAACTAATACTTCACTGTTCATTAACCACGATGTATTGCTCATTGCTCACATAATACTGTTCTTCTAAACTAATACTTCGCTATTCATAGGTCCTAACTAGCTACTTGTTGCTAAGTTAATACTGTTCTTTACTAATACAACGCTGCTAATTGCTCATTGTTAACAAACCACGTTTTTTAAATTAATTTCTTACTGCTCATCCATCACATATGGTTATTTCTCTGCTCTTCTTTACTATTACTTTACTGCTCATTTTTAACATCATATGATTTCTGCTGTAAAGTATTATTCAATAATAACTGAAAAAATTAAAATTAAAATTTTTAAGCGAGAGTGGAGATGTCGGAGAGAAGTTCTGGAGAATTCGAACCCGTATCCAGAGCTATCAATCCGTCCCTCCTGTTCCCCCAACCTTCAGAAATGAATCCCAGAAAGGAGATTATGGAACTATACCTATGAGGTAATCTCATGTTTCTTCTTTAAACTAAAATCTTAATGCTGCACCTTGATCTCTCTAAATTTAACTAGTAATCCCTGACTTAATGTAAACTTTCAAAACCTAGTAATATTCATCCATAGAGAATAGAATATATATTAGAGGGGAATTTACTATAAAAAATTGTAAAACGGCCATTTTGTTGTACTGTTTCCATACTGCAGGTGTACTTCACATATTTATGCTATATAACCTTATGTATTCATCATATTGTAAACGTTTTAATATTAATTAGGTGGGGATAATACCCAAAACAGCAAATAGCTCATCTCCCCTAATTGCTAAAATACATACATGTAGTAAACATTATAAAATTAGTTGCAGATTTGTTGCCTGTGACATTATAACTTGTTTGTGTATTTTTAGCAACAAACTATATCTTATCTTAAATTATTTATCTTATCCTATCTATCTTATCTTATCTTATCTTATCTTATCTTATCTCAAAGATCATTGTCTTTTCCAATATTTCTCCATGCTTACCAAATGATAGAAAATTCTTTAAAAGATTAATGTTAAATTGACAACGGTACCCTTGAAAGCTTTGTCTAATCAAGATTGAATGAGATATCCAGGTTTATGTTTCTAATGATTATTTTTATGTGTGGTTTCTCTACAAAAGTGAGTTGCGCATTTCTTCCTTCAGAACTAATAGAGAAAATAACAAAGCTTCCAGATTATTGATCAGATACAGGTTATAAGGGTACTGTTGTGAATCAGGTCTGCCCCTCTTTACATACGGTGGTAAGCGATTATATCACTACAATGAAGACAACTTTTTTAATAAAGCTTTGATTTACTAAAGCTTTTTTCGAGTTTACAAGTTTTAATTGATAAATTCTCTTAACTTCTATGTTTTTTTTTTGTATCGATGCTGTTTAACAGCTTAATTTAAATCAAAATTGAATTAGAAAGTCGTCGTCATTGTATTGATATAATCGCCTACCACTGTAGAAGCTATACTTTTAAATTACATTGACAGTATCTTTTACATTGCATGATTTACTGTTTTAATAAAACACATATTGAAGGAAATTGTATTTTGTTTATTTAGATTTTCTGTGACAAAGCATATTGTTTTCCATTGATTGGTTCGTATTTGAAAAAAATATATCGATATAGTCATAGAGATAAAGAGAGGCGGCTAGGTTTTTTACATTTTTGTGGATTAGGACAGATAAAAAACTATTTTTTTTTGTAAACAAACAAACAGGAATTCCGACCTTTGTTTAGAAACCCATCAATATTTCGATATATGTATTTTTCAGAATAAGAACCGATAAATGAAAAACATAATGCATTTTCTTCCATGTTTGTTTTACTAGAATTGTAATTTTAAGATTTAAGTTTTTCAACNGTTTTGTTTTTTATAGGATAATGCTTAATTTATTAAGCAATATGCATTTTACTCAGTCCAGGGCCAAATTTTAATAGCTGAGGCCCCTTGCAAAGTTTTTAGTTTTTTTCTTCAATGACATATTTCAAATTCTTTTATCTGTTTCTATACTCTAGGTATATCTGGCCTGTATTCAACTTGTTTAGAAAGTACGGAGTTCACGAGAGCCCTGTAAGGTATGCAATTTAAAAGGATTCATAGAGAAAGAATTTCTCCTTTGATATCAAATACTAGAGGTGGAGAAAGGGAGGGGGGATATCTTTGATACGCTCTTATACTTATTCCTTCAACAAAGTTAACGTAAAATCGTCAAATTACGCTATAGATCTTCTTAAATAATGTTTATTTTTAGCTTTGAGGATTTGCGACAAAACAATGGATTCCTACTTTATGAAACTCAGGTTATAGAGTACATATTAAAGTTTATGGAACACAAGTATAGAGTATATATTAAAGTTTATGAAACACAAGTATAGAGTACATATTAAAGTTTATAAAACACAACTATAGAGTACATATTAAAGTTTATGAAACACAATTATACAGTACATATTAAAGTTTATGAAACACAAGTATAGAGTACATATTAGAGTTTACGAAACACAATTTTAGAGTACATATTAAAGTTTATAAAGACAAGTATGGAGTACATATTAAAGTTTATAAAAATCAAGTATAGAGTACGTATTAAAGTTTATGAAACACAAGTATAGAGTATATATTAAAGTTTATGAAACACAAGTATAGAGTACATATTAAAGTTTATAAAAATCAAGTATAGAGTAAATTGTACAGTTCATGAAACATATTAGAGTTTATTACTTTGGTTTTAGTACTAAATGATGTTACCTATAATGGATGAGTCTTATTTAACCTCGTTAATCTCTTTAAATGTAACAATTTACACTTGAAAGATTCAGGTAACCAAGAATATAAGATTAAAGACCAAAAAAAGTGTCATCTTTTTTATGTTTATCCCTGTAAACTGTACAGTCTACATATTCAGGTTTCTGGTCTATTCTCCGATCCTGCTGGTTTAAATATACCTGGAATAAGAGACAGAGCCTATGTTTATATAAACTCAAGGTATTCATCCAGGTCCAAAATTATTTTATATATTTAATATTTCAAGTTTCAACTGTAAAGGGGAAAATGCACTTGTGTGATAAATTTTCTTCGGAAGAGAAAGGGATATATCCCCTTCCCCCCCCCTTCATTTTAGTTTCAACAAAATCCCTATTTTCAGTTCATTTAAAAGGAATCCTAAGTGCAGTGTTCTGTTCTGAATCTAAAATATGGAATTGTTGGAAAGATAAAATGGAGTTTAAAATATACAAGTCATTGCTCTGCCAGCTCATTCTCCCACCAATTACTCAAACACTGAAGCCAGGGAAAAAATCATTTGAAAAAGTTTTAAAAACTTGGAAGCAGATTTCATAAGGATTTGATTTAGTTTTCGCGCACTCTCGTTGATCTGATTGGCGAAAAGTTTGGAAGTTTGACCAATCAGATAAATGAATTTGTGTTTAGCTCATTTGAACCGATTTGAATTTAATCAGTTTCGTAAAATCAAAGTTGCCAGCTCAGATACATAGATAGACAGCGAGACACAAAAAGATAGAGATTGTGTACTCAATTTTCGTGGAAGGACGGATAAATCCTAATGCAATTTTTTTTTAGGTTTGTCGGAGTTTTATCCAGGGGTGAGAATATACTCAGTTTACCATTGCAACCTAGGGACGGAGATTTAATCCGAGTACTAGTTGAGAACCAAGGTATTCGTCCTCTCTAATACATAGTATACTAGTAGAGAACCAAGGTATTCATCCTATCTAATACACAGTATACTAGTAGAGAACCAAGGTATTCATCCTCTCTAATACATAGTTTACTAGTAGAGAGCCAAGGTATTCGTCCTCTCTAATATACAGTATACTAGTAGAGAACCAAGGTATTCGTCCTCTCTATTACACAGTATACTAGTAGAGAACCAAGGTACTCGTCTTCTCTAATACATAGTATACTAGTAGAGAACCAAGGTATTCGTCTTCTCTAATACACAGTATACTAGTAGAGAACCAAGGTATTCGTCTTCTCCAATACACAGTATACTAGTAGAGAACCAAGGTATTCGTCCTCTCTAATACACAGTATACTAGTAGAGAACCAAGGTATTCGTCCTCTCTAATACATAGTATACTAGTAGAGAACCAATGTATTCGTTCTCTTTTATACACAGTNTAGTACCAGGGGGGATGATAGTTCTATACTTGTGGGCTCATTTAGGTGTACTGTACACTTACAACAGTTTAGTGTTTACTAATATTGATATACTATAGGTTAGGCCAGAATCTCCTTATAATAAATAAATATGCAGTACGTATAGTTGATGGCCTATACAATTAGTAAAGGATTAACGATTAGCACTCTATACACTATAAGCTCGTTGGTTTCAACTGTTTAATCTTAGTTTCAACGGGTTAATCTCAGTTTCAGTGGTATAATCTTAGTTTTAACGGTTTACTTTCGGTTTTAATAGTTCAAGTTAAAGTCCTACTCCTATGGTTTAATCTCAGTTTCCATGGGTTGATCTTAGTTTCAAAGGTCGAACGTCAGCGATTTAATCTCGGTTTCACCAGTTTAAACTCTATTCCCTGGTTTAAATAAATAGCCTGGTTTACAGTTAGATAAGACAATGCAAAAATACTGACAAGAAAAAATGGATATTAGGACAAGAACAACAATATGAACGAAGAGCTACATATTGTCAACTGTTGTTTCAAGGCTTGGTTTGTATAAATCATAAATCTTGTAGTGTATCAAAATCAGAAATGGCTACAATATGTGACAGAAACTGTCCTAGGGATTAATTACTCACAATGATACTATATAACAAGGCCAAAAAATGGCAGTAACATACCAAAACTATGATATTTTTTACTTAAACTGAAGAAATTGGAAAAGTACAAAGTACATATAAGGATCCTAAATACCTTTTCTGTTGTTTTGTCAAGAAATTCTCTTTAAAGGAATTGAGCCTTTGCCACAAACTCTAAACTCTATATCGTTGCAATCCATGGTTAAACCATGAAATCTGTTGGATCAAATAATCTTTTTTTATTATAATATTAAAGGTTTACACCATCAGGGTCCGAATTTAATGAATTTTAGCCGTGTCTCAAATCCCCCAATAACCGGTTTCAATTCAGCTAGCTAACTCATAGGCCAGGCGAAACTTCAAAGTCGGCCCGATCTTGAGAGTTGTTGCCCAATTTTTAGAGATGTCCAGTGTCCGAATTTAATGAATTTGAGCCGCGTCTTAAATCCGCCAAAAACCGGTTTCAATTAAGCACCGGCTTTAATCTTGAAACATTGAATACAATTTTAAGTGAAACTAACTATATTTGGCCACGGCTTAAATTTAAGCCGCCGCTCAAATTCTTTAAATTCGGCCTCAGATCTCTTTGATCGAATATGAGTTTATATTTTATTGATAATCCATTTGGAGAGATAGAGAGCGCTGTTTTTTTATTCTAATGGTTGCTGAGATATATTAGAACATAAATATTTTATACAAAACGTTCTTTCAGTAAAATGGCATGAATAAAGTGAGAAACTCAAAATATGCAAGAACCCAATCTCGGAATTGCAAAGATTTGTTAAGCAAAAAAAAACTGCTTCATTCCCGTTAAGAAGAATAAACGAGAATAATAATCTATTTGATTATTTAAGCCAGCTTAAGATATTTTGCCTTCCTTTACAGGGACTGCTCCCGTATTTCATTTAGGATCACTGCTAATCCTATCTCACCGCTACAAGATATTCATCAGAGCCAGAATGTTCAGTACTCTCTGTCTAGTTTTTTTCTCATAGTTTTTTTTAAAACAAAATTCACGATTATATTACCTAGACCTTACATTTTAAAATATTTATGAAATTTAACAAAAGATCAAATCTATCGAAAATATAATGTGTAAAGTGTCCGAATTTTATGAATTTAAACTGCGTCTCAAATCCCTTAAAATCTTTAAAAATTCAATACGATTTTAAGTGGAACCAACACTATTTGAGCAGCCTTGAATTTAAGCCGCGGCTCAATTTCTTTAAATTCGGACTTTTAAAAAGGATTTAATTCCAATCTTTTTTAATGTGTTTTGAGTTTTCAGTTACAAGAATTTAAGTTTTTCTAACGCATTGCGACAGATTAACGAACTTGACTTTTATTTTCAGCTTTCTGGCTCATATACTTCGTTCCTAAGGAACATCTATTTATCGACGAAAAATAAAAACTTTTTTCTTTAGATGAACACTCTCTTTATAAGAACAGATTACGGGCTTATGCAGCAGAGGCAACGAAGGAAATAGGCGTAATTTATATTTTCTCTAGGTAGAGAGTAGAGACACGTGGCAGTTTTTAATATATAAAACAAATAAAACATAATATGAAGTATTAACTATATACGAATGCGTCGAAAAAAATCGATGACTAAAGGTTGTAATATCTAAATGATTTGTTTGGAATAAAATAGATTTTTACAATCCGAGTAGAATAGTGCAACTTTCTGAATTTGTAAGGACACAAGGTTCTTCAGTGAGAATCGAATTTAACAATTTTTTCCTAATAGACGTAACAGATAGAAGTAAAATTAGTAGCAATCACCATCGAATATTTTTCGAGAAAGCCTACACCCCCCTTCATTTTTCGCGAACACTCCCTTTAACGTTGAAAAATTAAAAGTAAAAATTGTTTTAAAGATTGGCCTTTGATAAAAAAAACTCTCTTAAATGCTTCCGTAAAAAAGAAAAGTTTTTAATCCTTGGAAAGTTTTTAAAACAGCAGTAGTATTGTTTTGAACAATTGTATAAAGGGGCTTCTCGTTAGCGCAATACAATACACATTCACTATAGTTCACACCAGACCCAATATACATTCAATATAGTTCACACCAGACCCAATATACATTCACTATAGTTCACACCAGACCCAATATACATTCAATATAGTTCACACCAGACTCAATATAGTTCACACCAGACCCAATATACATTCAATATAGTTCACACCATACCCAATATTCATTCACTACTTGGGATTTTACTTTAATGTTACTTAGATTCTCTCATCCTATACCTTGTTTAAACAATTTTTGACTAGCCTGAGGTCGGTTTTTATGAATAGAGGTTGAAATTAATACTGTTAGTTGAACTATATGATACCTTGTAAAGGTCGAATCTGTTTTGGGCCGGATCTGAGGGATAGAAAAGGAATTATCGGAAATGTTACACTTGGCGGGAAAATTTTGAAAAATTGGAAGATTTCAGGTAATTATGTACACTGTACACTGTACAGGATAAAGGGTCGGTACTATTTTCATTTCTATCCGATGTATCTGAGAAATAAATGTCGATTTTAAAGTCCGTTAATTCCCCCGAATTTATGCAAGGGGCTGATTCATTTGGTGTACCGTCCCGGTTAACTAATATTGTCTGTATATGTACTGTACTACTTGCTCTAGCTGGTTTAAAGTCTGTACTGTAAATACTAAGTTCTAAATTAGCTAAATGGAGTTCAATATCTTTTAATACTAAGACTATTGTTAATAAATGATATATTTCAGTTTTCTAATTTTCTACTTTTAATTAAACTAATTAATTATAAAACTATTATTAACTATTCTAGGACTAACCTTCACAGAGAAAACGGTTCAAGCTTTGGAAAAGGTAAAATCAGGGGCTTACACAGAGGTGGAAAGGGGGGGGTTATAGGAGCTGAGCCATCCCTCGTAGATAAGCTATATAGGAGCTGAGCCATCCCTCGTAGATAAGCTATATAGGAGCTGAGCCATCCCTCGTAGATAAGCTATAAAAGGAGTTGTAAGGAAACATGACAAGCAGGAACTGTATATAAATGTATCACCATATGATCCAAATTAACAACGTATATTTAATGATAAATTGATAAAAACATGTTGCATCATTTACCATTATAAAATGTTTCCTCTACTCTAACCAGAGTTCACAGTGGGATTTGCAAAACTTGTTTTTTATTTATTTTACCAAGGGAGTAATTAACAGACTAGGCAACAAATATAAATAGAAGCATATTTTTTCACAGGGATAATAAAGCAGTCAGGCGGGATTGTAAAGTTATCAGTCATTTAGGGATGTTAACGTTTTCATTTTTTTGAAAAACGATCGTTTTTTTTCGTTTTCCTATCGTATTTTTGTTTCGTTTTTTAAAAAAGTTTTTAAAACGATTGCTTTTTAAATGATCGGAAAACGAAACAAAAAAAGATAGGAAAACGAAAAAAATCGATCATTAAAAACGATTAACAACCCTACAGTCAGTATTGTAAAGTTATCAGTCAGAATTGTAAAATTGTCAGTCAAGATTGTAAAGTTATCAATAAGGACTTTAAAGATATCAGTCAGGATTGTAAAGTTATCAGTCAAGATTGTAAAGTTATTGATAAGGACTGTAACACCATCAGTCAGGTTTGTAAAATTATCAGTTAGGATTGTAAATTTATGTCAGGATTGTAATGTTATCAGTCAGGATTGTAAAGTTATGAGTCAAGATTGTAAAGTTATCTCAGTAAGGACTGTAAGATATCAGTCAGGTTTGTAAAGTTATCAGTTGGGATTGTAAAGTTATAAGTCAGGATTGTAAAGTTATGAGTCAAGATTGCAAAGTTATCTTTGTAAGGACTGTAAGATATCAGTCAGGATTGTAAAGTTATCAGTCTGGATTGTAAAGTTATTAGTTAGGATTGTAAAGATATCAGTCAAGATTGCAAAGTTATCAGTCAGGATTGTAAGGTTATCAGTCAGGATTGTAAGGTTTTCAGTCAGGATTGTAAAGTTATCAATCAGGATTGTAAAGTTATTATTCAAGATTGTAAAGGTATCAGTCATTACGATTATGAGAGCTTAAATCTCACGCCTTAGTCCACTCGACCAAGTAAAGTTATCAGTCAAGATTGTAAAGTTATCAGTCGAAATTGCAAAGTTATCAGTCAGGATTTTAAAATAAATTTGTCAGTCTAGATCGTACAGTTGCAACCACCGTTCATAGAGTTGTCAGCCAGGGAATTATAAACATGCCAATCTAGATCATACTGTTACAAACCCAGGATCAAAAAGTTGGCAGCTAGAGGATTACAATGGTTTCAGCCGGAGTTTCATTAAAATGAGATGATAATATAGGAATAAACTATTTATGCACTTGATAAGTTGAGACACACGGCAAGCTTTGAGATTGAGGGTTTTTCCTTAGAATATGATGTCGATATTTTTAAAAAGAATATTTTGACTGTTTATAAAAATCCAGCCATGCCATCCGAGACGAAAAGTTATTGTCGTTTTCAGTTGATTTCTGAAAACCTGAGGAATGGAGGGACCCGGAGACAGGTTCAAGATCAAGATCTCAACACTTCTCAGGGTAGGATGAGCGTCTGGGCTGCAATGTTTCAACTCCAATCTAATTCCATATCCCAGGAACCATTGGATACCTTTGTGGAATTGCCAGGTACATCTTATTACACAGTAGGCTTAGATTCAAACCAAGAAATAATTTGAAGGGAGTGTTCACTAAAAACAAAACGGTCTATAATTGAGCTATAAATCGATACAATTTCAATTAATGTTTCTGTCAGGAGAAAATTCTCTTTAAAGGGACTGTAGACGTAGTTTTAAGTGACCTTTCATTTGTAAAGTGGCAGGTCCGACTTACTACAGTACTGTTTAAACCTTTGACTGCAGAATGAGCTGGAGTATAATATCCGCAGAAACGCTTGTTACTGACTGTTGATTACTTATTCACATATAGAACATTATATATTATCTTTTTTTCTGATAATATATAATGTTCTATATGTGAATAAGTAATCAACAGTCAGTAACTCCGTATTTTCTGAAAATATGTGAAGATATAAAGTCATTTGCGTGGTACTTACACTGTGCGTGCACTCCTTTAAAACTCCAGTTTCCCTGTATATTTCGACCCCCATTTTATAGCCAGAAAATGTGGATTTCTCCGTCCGATTGTCAGGAAAAGGTATGAAGGATACTGTTGTGTATCTACATGCCTCTATGAATAAAGGGTAAATTGAAATCATCATCTTAAAATTCTCAAGTTTCGATATATTTTACAAGAGAAAACTAATCAGTGCTAAACTTTAAAGAAAAGGTTTTTTAAAATGCCAGAATTGCATTAAAGAATCATCGATCAAGAAGGATAGATAGATAGATGGATAGATAGATGGATAGACAAATAGATAGATAGATATTAGATAGTGATAATAGTGAAAATAGCGTCAATTAGTGCGGCAAAGTCACAATGAAATATATAAAAATTGTATCATAAGACTGATAAACCTTTTTTATCCAACAATCAGTGTTCAATCAGCTCCTACCAATCTTCATAATTCAATTCAATCTTTTTACCAATCAAGGAATATCTAATTAGGAACGTTCTAATCGTGAACTGAACTGAGAACTAAAGAAAAGGCTTAACAACCCTTTTTTGGAAAAACAAAAAATAAAGGTTTCAAAAATAACGACACTAAGTTTTATTTTGATATTTCAAATTTCGGAAAATACTACTAAAAGATGCATTTTATCCTAAAAAGTATTTAATTCTAAATTATTAAGGTTGGCATAAAGGAATAATAATTGTGAATGGATTTGTACTTGGGCGATATTGGCCCGCAGTTGGACCTCAGGTATTATATACGACATTAGTCTCAGGTATAACAACAGCCAAATGTCATTAGTCAACAGTCAACAGTCAATGGTCAAAGGTCAAAGGTCAATAGTCCACAGTCAACAGTAAACAATCAACAGTCACCAGTCGAATGTCCACGGTCAACATTCAATTACCAATGGTTCACTAATGACGGTCAAGGTTAACGGTCAACAACAAACAGTCAATGGTCAACGGTCAACTGATAATGGTCAATGGTCAATAGTCCAAAGTCAACAGTAAACGATCAACAGTCAACAGTCAACATTCAATTGTCAATAGTTCACCATTTACGGTCAAGGTTAATTGCCAAAGTTTTAACATGCAAAAAAAGGTCTTCTTGCAAGCAAAGTCAAAAGAATAAGACTAAGAGTAGACCGGGTTTAAATCAAATTAAAGTAGGTTTATTTAAAAACAAATTAGTGTAAATATAAGATTCTAAAGTAAGTCCTTTTGATGACAAAGGTCAAAGTTCCAAAGTTGTCTCTTAAACGTGAGGGTAACAGAAGTAGGAACCATTCCAAAGATTGGTATCCCCTTGTAGACTGTAAGTCCTCTGTTGGCAAAATATAAAGGATAAGTACTTCACATACCCGCCAAAGGCTAAGGGCTGAGATCCTGATTAGTTCTTTTCAAGTCGTTGGAGATCTAATTCGTGCTTCCGAGTTACTAAAAACATTCGTACTTTAATGATTATTTTTTTAAATTTTCATCAATATTATAGATGACTCTGTATCTGCCAGGTACACTACTCAAACCATATCCAGGTACTAATTGATTGATTGATTGATTGATTGATTGATTAATTAGAAATATTAACTTACTATTCCGATATCCAAGCATTAAATCCTTGCTAGATTTTTTTGTTTGTTGTTTGGTTGTTAGGAACTTTATTTTTTATTGTTTAGTTAGTGTTTAGATGTTTTATTACTGGATTGTTTGGTTGTTTGGTATGATTGTTGAGTGTTGTTTGGTTTGTGTTAAGATGTTTGATTGTTTGGTAGATTTTTTGTTTGGTTGGTGTTTAGATGTTTGATTGTTTGGTTGTTTGGTATGTTTGTTGAGTATTGTATGGTTTGTGTTTAGATGTTTGATTGTTGGGTTGTTTGGTATGTTTGTTGAGTATTGTTTGGTTTGTGTGTAGATGTTTGATTTTTTTGTTATGTTTGTTGAATATTGTTTGGTTTGTGTTTAATGTTTGATTGTTTGGTATGTTTGTTGAATATTGTTTGGTTTGTGTTTGGATATTTTATTGCTTAATTATTTGGATATTTGTTGTATTTAGTTGTTAGGTTAATTTCTATGTTAATCTTCAATTTACATAAACATTATTTCTTCTCTCCTTGTATAAAATGAGTTTATAAAAACATGAAAATTGTAGAAATATTACACAAGTCTGTTCGTAATTATTTTATCAACTTTTAAACCGTAACCTAGCATATATTTTTGCTTTTGTTTTAAAACTTTTCGATACACCTACCTTGAAACAACCAGGGCGAGATCTAATCTCGGTTTTTTTCAATTTGAATACAATGGCGTTTTGGTCTATAATTAAACAAATTAATTAAGCAAAAAAGTATGAAAAGATTTTTTTTTGTTATAGGTCACACTTATAACAAAGTGTATTTTTTGCCGCCTTTAGACCATCATGGTTCCCCCATAGTTACTTCACTTCACTTGGGACCATTAAGTAAAATAAGGAGCCGCTCTTTTAATTTTTCGCGAAAAAATTTGGTCTTTTCATTTAATATATATTTATATATCTATCTGTAAGCTATAGCTGGCAAATCGGATGGACCGAATGAGCAGAATTTTGTTAGGGAACCCTTGAGTACCCCGGGGATAACATAGGCTAAACAAAGTAGAATTTTTTTTAAATCAAATTTTTTTGTTTTAAATTTGATTAAAAAAATTTCACGGGCAACGCTGGGCACTTTAGGCATAATAAAGCTCTTTGCTAATATATATATTTTTCATGTTAGCTATAGCTGGCCAAACGGCTTAACTGAATAGGAATATTTTTTTACGAAACTAATGGGTATCTTTGGGTAACATAGGCTAAAAAAAATCGACTTTCTTTTTCAAGTTTTTCTAAAATTCCACGGACAACGCCGGGTACTTCAGATAGTGTTTAGAAATTCGGAAAATTGAAATTTTACCTAACCACGGGTTTCTTATACCAATTTTTCCTGCAAAACATCCAGAGCACAGTGTTTCAAAATTTGTCTTGGGAACTCTTGATAAAGTAAAATTAAAGTAAATAATTATTCCCTGCCATGTTTATTCCTTATTTCTTGCATAATTAATACAACTAGTTCATTAGTTATATCATATATTTACTGCAGCTTAATCCTTCATCTTATTATACTGTACACTTAACATCTATTTATATATTAAGTTGCATGTTTATGGAAGGATTAATTATATTTTTTAATCTTGTATATGATGTTGTATGTTGTTCTATTTTAAAGGAGACTGTAAACCTATTTGAAAACAAACAACCTTAAATAATGATCGTTAAATCTGAATATTTACTGTGGACACTTTTAATTTCTGTTTAATCCGATCTGAGCTGGGAACTTTTGAATGATTGACATCGGGATTAACGCTTGATCCACTCTTTTTCTTAATCTCGAGATTAAATATTGCTTATTCTCCTCTTATTATTAATCTCCAGATTAGTTAACCAATCGCGATTAAGGATATCCCATTCTAAAGTTTTCAGCTCTGTTCTCCTCTTTTGGATATCCCTACTGGATTTCTCTAATTATTAAATGGCGCGCAACGTTTCAATTTCCTGTTCAAGATTCTGCATACGCCATTCTGATGTGTTAAATCTTAGACACTATCCTGTAGTCTGTAGACAAACCAAAGATTAAAATAATCTTCAGATTAACAAAAAGAGCATTTTAAGCATTTATTTCAATATCCACAATTCTAAACATTTTAATTGGAATTTCGGAAATTCGGGCAGTTAGGAACATTTTTGAGTAGTTCAATTGGTTTAATTGTGATCATAAGTTAAAAAATTAGGATAATTTCTACTGGGTGATTTTTGAAAGTCAAATTTTTAAAATGTTCGCCAAGGCAAAAAAAAGATAACTTTAATATCTATTAACTCGTTATTACATGACATTTGATAAAGAAATTAATTATCTCCAGTATTTTTAATCTTTCTCTGCTGTGGAGGCTCTCAAACAACTTCCAAACTTCAAACCAGATATTTTACCAATTGGACTTTTTTACATTACATGGAGGACAAATTTAAAATTTTATAAGCTGGAATCGTATATACCATTTCTAGGGTCCTTCAAAGTTATTACAACTGGTAAAAAACCATAATCAAAAATGTTGAAAAAATTATTTTAGTAAGAAAAGAGCCGTATTTTTACACTGTTTAACCTGTTTAAGGGAGACCTGTATTTTTGGGTCTAGCCCTGGTTGCTTCGGGAATTATCAAATGTCAGACATTTAGAAAGAAATTGGAAGGTTTTCGTATTCAATATTGCAGATTTTCCATCCAATAATTAAACACAAATTAAAAAATCAACTTTAAAAATCACACTGTATTTTCAAATTGATTCACAAAATTTTTTTCTTATATTTTTATCCTGTACCTTTATACTGTACATTTGTTATTCTGTATCCTTAATAGTTTTAATCTTTACAACCTGAGTGTTTAAACTTATGATATTTTTATCCTGTACTTTTATACTGTACATTTGTTATTCTGTATCCTTAATAGTTTTAATCTTTACAACCTGATTGTTTAAACTTATGATATTTTTTTATTTATCTACAGCATGAGGTTGCAAAGATGTAAAAATAAGCAAACTCTTATATAATGGGTATAATCACCTTTAAGTTATAATTTTTGTTTGTTCAGAATGGAATCGTATCTCTATCTTGGAACAGGATAGGCTGACGTGCTTACCGTACTGCAATATCAGATTCAGAACCAGTTCTAATATAGACGGTCCAACCCCATTCCAGTAATATCAGATTCAGAACCAGTTCTGACATAGACGGTCCAACCCCATTCCAGTAATATCAGATTCAGAACCAGTTCTGACATAGACGGTCCAACCCCGTTCCAGTAATATCAGATTCAGAACTGCAGTTCTAATATAGACGGTCCAATCCCATTCCAGTAATATCAGATTCAGAACCAGTTCTAATACAGACAATCCAATCCTGTCCTAGTAATTCAGATTCAGAACCAGTTCTAATATAGACGGTCCAATCCCGTGCCAGTAATATTAGATACAGAACCAGTTCCCATCCTGTTCCAGTAATATTAGATACAGAACCAGTTCTATATAACGCTGAAATACATAAATTCGAAAAACCTAGTGTTTTCTATATGGAAAGTTTTACAGTAGGCGTATACAGTTTTTCTAACTAATTTAATCTTTCTTAATTTTCTATAAGTCAATTGAAAATCGCAATTTAGAGCCATGAACGATCCGAACTTATGTGGGACACCGTGTACATAGACGGTCCAATCCCTAGTAATATTAGATATTGGGGGTCTCCAAAGAAAAGTTAGGGCTCTCCAATGAAATGGTCGTAATGGCCGACCGTTGCCTCTAATGCTTGGTTTCTGCACATCAGAAACCTAATGCTCGGTTACAAGGGCGAGAAAGTCTAATTCAGAACCCCAAATGAATGATAGATTCAATTCAATACCAGATTCTATATAGATGGTCCAATCTAGTCGTTCCAGTTCGTAACCGGTTCTTACGCCCTTCCCCCCTAGAAAAGTTTCCCCCGTATTATTCTCCACACTGCCCACTTTTTGTAAAACTATGTTCTGATATTAATATGCTTGGTTCGGGTTGAATTCCGAGTCTGATATGTACGAATGTTTTCTTGATTTATGGAAATCCAATAAAATCAAAAAAGAATCTAATCAGGAAAATGGCTTGAACAGAATAAAAAGTTTGTGTTTTCTATATCTAGTATTTTATGGATACATACTTTAAAATATCATTTCTGTCAGGGTGTACACTGCACAGGATATTGCCTTTTAAAAAAAATGTCTTTCTTTCCAGGACGGGGGGCTTAGCACCTGTTGGGGCCTGATTTTGAGGATCCAGGGGGGGGGGCGCCTCTAACTACGCCTCTAACTTCTTAAGGATCCTTAAAGGGACTGTCTCTGTACTTTTAAGGGCCCTCTACTGAATTTGGGCCATTTCTGATTCAAAACTGTAGGATTTCGGATAAAAAACGGTAAGATTTCTGATAGAAAACAGTAAGATTTCTGATAGAAAACAGTAAGATATCTGATAGAAAACGGTAAGATTTATGATTAGAAACGGTAAGATTTCTGATGGAAAACGGTAAAATTTCTAATTAAAAACAGTCAGATTTCTTATTGAAAACGGTTAGATTTCAGATTCAAAACGGTAACATTTCTGATAGAAAACAGTAAGATATCTGATAGAAAACGGTAAGATTTCTGATTAGAAACGGTAAGATTTCTGATTGAAAACGGTAAGATTTCTGATTGAAAACAGGAAGATTTATGATTGAAAACGGTAAGATTTCTGATTGAAAACAGTAAGATTNCCTCAATTGGTAATCACCGTAAAGTCTCGTTTTCTGAGATTTGAATTTAATGCATTTTTAACACAATTTTCGACATCTATCCGGGTTTTATGGCATCTGTATTGACTTAAACTAAAGTTTCAATTTGTTTCCAGATGGGTTTGGTCAACAAAACTAGAACCAAGGCATAGCTTATTTTAGCCGAATCTTAGAACCAATTTGCTGATTTAATGACTGCTTTTCATGATCGGAGTTAAGATACTAAAAGTTTGATCTGTCTGTTTACTAAAACTTACCTCACCCCGGCCAAAGTAAAATCTATCTCCATTTAAAAGATATTTTCAAAAAACCTTTACAGTGTTTAAATTTTTGTTTTTGCCTATTCGAGTTTAACATCTACAACAAAAATAATTGCGTGCATAGAAATAAAAAATTTAGAAAAATCAGTGTCATCGCGCCCACTAGTGAAAATGAAGTATTAATTAATTGTTCACTAATTATTTCTAGCGCTTCATTGCTATAATTGAGGAGCGCGCATGCGAAAAGGTTCAAAACGTAATTTTATTTCTAGCTCTTCATGTGGAATATTTATAGATTATATTCGAAACTGAGAAGCATCAAAGAAAGCTTTAAAAAAAACGATTTAATGTCAACATTTTTATTTCTGATTACAAATTGAGGTGGTGGAGATTAACAATTGAGTAGCGCGCATGCCGCTAAACACGTTTGGGTGGCGGTGATTACTAATCGAGGACTTTTGCACTCCCCCTCCTCCTGAACTGTGTGTAGCAAAATTTCTTATGTTTAACGAATTCCCCTGAAGTTGCAGAGAAGAGAAGAGAAGCGTATTTAATTTCTAAACAATATTATACAGCTAAACACAGCTATACACTGGGTATAAAGGAAACTTCATTGACTCGAGGAACTCGAAGAATTTCCATAAATAGACGCGGCATTTTCCACATACCCCGCACAGTATCAAAAGCAATATTAGAAAAAAAACAATTTTAATCAAAAAAGGGTCTTAACCAGAAAAAAAACTATTAAACAAAGACAACCTTTACATCTTTTTCTGAGCAACATAAAGGAAGATATAATCGTTTTTCTATCTCGAAAAAATTCAAATTCTGACAATTTCTTTGTCTCTAATACTGAATAGATTCACAAGTTACTGAAATACCAAGAAAACCACAATAAAATATTATGAAATTTTGGAAAGAAAAAAAACTTTGTAATTTTTAACAGTATTAAATATACAGTGGGCATGCGGGCAATTTAAAATTACTTCAACAGGACCTTTAAATATGGAGTTTTAAAAAAGAGGCTTTTCATTTTTTTCCACTTAATCCCCATGATTCACTCATTTAGAATTTAGGAATATTTTTTAACTTATATTTAAACAGAATTTGTTTCATATATGAACCGCGCTAACGTATAGTTCAACCCTCTCTTGTGCACCAGTTCAAGCTACTGAGATGCAGTTGAACCCCTTGGTTTAACCATTTCTCAATATTCATAAAATCTGGTCCACGGTATAAACAGCCTTTTTCCAGAAGATATGAGATGGTTTAAACAATAAAAATGTCTGGGATTAATTTATTATGTGAAAATTTTGATCAAGAAGTTTGATTTATTTAGACAATCCTCCTCTTATACCAGGATACAGGGTGTCTCAAACACCCTCCTCTAATACCAGGATACAGGGTATCTTAAACATCCTCCTTTAATACCAGGATACAGGGTATCTTAAACATCCTCCTTTAATACCAGGATACAGGATATCTTAAACATCCTCCTCTAATACCAGGATACAGGGTATCTTAAACATCCTCCTCTAATACCAGGATACAGGGCATCTTAAACATCCTTCTCTAATACCAGGTTACAGGGTATCACATCCTCCTCTAATACTAGGATACTTTATGTCGTCGTTATTTAATAATTAAAAAGACTAATTCTGAAAACTTATCCACCTCCAAAATAGGAGTTTTGAACGTCGAATTTACGCTCAAACTCAGGGTTTGCAGATCTTTAAAAAGTTGTATATATCTCAAATGAATCCAGAAGAAGTTTTCCACAACACTGCATACTCAGTTCAACTACCTTAGATAGCCAGTCACTCCTTTTAAACTAAAAGGTTTTCATCATCAGGTTTAACAAACTTCGTTACTTAAACCCAAAACATAAACTATCTGCAACCTTTTTGTTAACAGAGGATGCACCCTAGCATAAGCTTTCGGTGCATTCTGAAGGGATCTAGAGTACATTGAAAGAGGACATGGTAGGGTTTAGTTGAGAGTGGATAAGACTTCAGAGACGACTGTACAGAAATCATTTAGTCATTTATAAAGCACTCGCTTTGCCCGTCGAATAAAAAAAAAGATAAAAAAATTAATAGAAAAAATAGATTTTTAACCTTTGTAACCCCCAGGCTACCCATGAGTGTCCACAAAAAATGTCAGCCCATTCAGTCCAGTCGTTTGGTCGGCTATAGTTAACATATATACGAATGTCTTGTTTTATTATATAGGTTTATAGGTCTTTATTAAAGTCTCATCCTTTGTGGGTAACCCTGATCAATGAAATGTATCACTTAGTGTTTATATATTCCGTCATGGGGTTTAGTCGTATCTGATTAATTAAACAGCTAGATCAGACACCATATGTATAAAACAGTAAACAAAACATGTTGTTCTTCCTGGTTCTTTGAATACTTGATCATGATCTTTTCTTCTTTCTACTTATTCTTTTGTTCTTATTTTGGTTCGTTATTCGTTGGTTATTTTTACTGTTTTCGTTTGTTTTCCTCTTTCTTTTTTGTTTTGTTTATTCTTTTGTTCTTGTGCTTTTTTATTCGTTTTATATTCTTTTGTTCTTGTGCTTTTTTATTCGTTTTATATTCTTTTGTTCTTGTGCTTTTTTATTCGTTTTTTATTCTTCTGATCTTGCTATTATTTCTCTTTTATTCGTTCTTTTTCTCTTTTTTCTTTTTTTGTTCTTGTCTCTAGGGTCCTTTTATATACATACACAGGACGGTTATAGGATCAAATTCCTAGTTTATAAAGGACCGAAGTAATATTAGGGTTCAAATATATACAGGACGGGAGTAGTATTAGGGTTCAAATATATACAGGACAGGAGTAGCATCATGGTTTAAATATATACAGGACGGGAGTAGTATCAGGGTTCTAATATATACAGGACGGGAGTAGTACCATGGTTCAAATATATACAGGACGGGAGTAGTATCATGGTTCAAATATATACAGGACGGGAGTAGTATCAGGGTTCTAATATATACAGGACGGGAGTAGTATCAGGGTTCTAATATATACAGGACGGGAGTAGTATCAGGGTTCAAATATATACAGGACGGGAGTAGTATCATGGTTCAAATATATACAGGACGGGAGTAGTATCAGCTGGTTCTAATATATACAGGACGGGAGTAGTATCAGGGTTCTAATATATACAGGACGGGAGTAGTATCAGGGTTCTAATATACACAGAACGGGAGCAGTTTCAGGGTTCTAATATATACAGGACGGGAGTAGTATTAGGGTTCAAATATATACAGGACGGGAGTAGTAACAGGGTTCAAATATATACAGGACGGGAGTAGTAACAGCTGGTTCTAATATATACAGGTCAGGAGAAGTAACACGGTTCAAATATATACAGGACGGGAGTAGTGTCAGGGTTCAAATATATACAGGACGGGAGTAGTATCAGAAATCAAATATTTACAGGACGGGAGTAGTTTCAGGGTTCCAATATATACATGACGGGAGCAGTATC